CAATGTTTTCTTAATTAATCTTTAACTTTATATATCTAACTTTTATCAAATATGAGTTTTTTGTTTGAGACTTAATAAAACTTGTAATGTAGATTCTGAATATGTAATTTTTTACTAAAGAAAATCTAATTATAGTGGGGGCTCAATTTACTTTATGGTAAGTCAAACATCATAAACGGTGAGAACCTTTCTACGTGACAGAGGGAGTACATTGTTACATGTAACATGTATGGAGTACTCAATTTTAATATACTTTTGAATTCGCAAATTAATTAAATTAATTTTAAATAATATTTGATTAATGGGAGATTTACCCAAATAGGAGTAATTAAAGTCTTAATTGTCAAAATAGGACTAATGTTCAAAAATTCCTCAAATAGGAGTATTTATTTGTAGTTAGACAAAAATACCCCTGAACCTGGACACAACATATCGTCACATACAGACCGTCGGAACAGCCACCGCCGGCCACCGGCCGCCGGCCGCCAAAAAACCACTGCAACATCCTCAAAACTAGCCGCCCATGCAGATCCGGCCGCCGCCGCTGCAGATCCGGCCGCTGCTATTGCAGATCCGGCCACCACCGCCGTAGATCTAACCAGAGTTGGGCGCCACCGGCCACCGACTGCAAATCCGCCCAGGCACCCACTGCTACTGCAGTTCCAACCGCCATTGCTGATGTGGCCAATAAATTTAGCAGAATGCCATCATGACTCTAGAATGCCATATTAATGGCATTTTTAAAGAAAAATATGATTTTTTTGAAGAGTGAAAATGCAATTTTGATGGCATTTTGAGAGAAAATTTGGCAATTTGAACAACCAAAGAAGAAGATGGACATTGCTACTCACTCCCTTCGTTGCTTTACGACCAAACAGAAGATGAGCATGAATCAACGACCAAACAGAAGATGAGAAGGAGGAAGGAGGGAGAAGAATGAGTTGCTTTAGAGATCTGGATCAGAAATTGCTACTCACTCGCTTCGTTGGTCGTCGATGCTCTCCCCTGCTCGCCGCCGCCACTCTCCACCGTCGCTCGCCGTGCCTGATGACCTCGTTGTTGAAGGTTTCCAATCGGAGAAGATGAGAGTAGAAGAAAACTCACCATCTGGCAACCTGAAATATGGAACAGATTGGAGAAGAATAGCTGGTGTGGAGGAGAATTTAAGATTTGGAGAAGAAAACGTAATCCGTCAGGCATGAATAAAATTGGAATGAAAACCAGTTGGTGCGTGGAGAAGAGAAATGTCTGGGCGGAGGAGAATAATGCACGTAGGAGTGTAGGAGGGGTAAATTTTGAATAATTGTCCTATTTAGGGAATAAAACTTATCTACTCCAATTTGAGAATTTGAACCCTAGTTTAGTCCTACGGAAAGCAATAACTCCTGATTAATTCCTTATTTGATTTTGTGTTAACATAATTTTGAATAAATTATAAACTATGTGATTAATTTTTTTAGTAAGGTTAAGTTTTATATTTCATGGAATTTTTAATTATGATATCATAATTAAAGTTTGTATTATTTAAAGTTATTTCCCTAATATTTTTGTCCCACGAGTATTTTATTATTTATAATTGAATTTACACTATTCTTTTAATGTGATTATTGTTTATGAGATGAGAGAAATAGTCCATGTGAGTTCACCCCGCTAACGGAAATTCCTGGATACGCCACCGGAAACATGTGCCCCTATCTGAAAACGGTCCAAACCACATATATCTTTTCTATACTTTTAGTAAGAGTAATATACAGATTTTACAAGATAGAAGAAAGATTTCATTTAAAAGCGATGGGGTCCAAATAAGAATAATGCAAGATGATAACGTAGGATTAAGTGGCAGTTCATTTATATCTTTGTACTTTATTTTGGTAGAGATAATGGTTAAGTTAAATTTGCTAAAAATACCTATAAATATGAAGCAAATCATTTTGTGAAAATGGAAATTAACAATCCAACCTTTTAGCGGTCTTCTTACAATAATATCACCTTAGTGTAACTCAGGAATAATCCAATCTTTGCACCTCATCTTCATTCGATGGCCCCTGACCAGTTGATGATTTGCTATTCCAGGTTTTTTCATGTTCTTTGCAAATCATTCAACCATAAATTCTACCTTCTTGTACAAATCTTCTCGAAAGGTCTAACATGTGATTTTTTTCTTCCTAATTTTTTTCTTTCATTTTTATGTATTCCTATTCATTGTAGTCTCTTTTTAAATTTTTTCCGGGCTACTTGTATATATTTTTTAGAAAAGAGAAAAATATAGGGGATATTCCTCAAATAGTATTTAATGAGACTTTGATTGCAATAATATGAGTATTATTTCAAAATTCCTTAAATAGGACTAGCTTTCTAATTCTATCATTGTTTTGTTTAGTGCAATTAATATTTTATTAATAATTAAAACATAAAAGTAATAACATAACCTTATTTATAATAAAAATGTAGAAAAATAAAAAAACCGAAATAAATATTAAATAAATTAACAAAATTAAAACATTAGAAAAATGAAAATTAAATTTAAAACTCAATAACATATAAATAAAATAATAAAAAAAGTAAAAAAATATGCAGGCATCTGTTGCCGCTTCAACAACCTCCCAACACCACCAATTACAAACACCGGAAAAAATGCCAACATGTGTTAGTAATGCCATTTTGATGACAATTTTTTGGAAAATTTTCTCATTTTCAAAGAGTAAAAATGTCATATTCATGGCATTTTCAAAGAAAAAATCGCAATGTTTACACAAAATGGCATTTTTTCGCTAATCAGAGTTGGCATTGCCGCGAGGCGGCAAGGCTACAAAAAAGGACTCCAATTTTTATAATTTTTTTAATGTGTTTTATCTATTTTTATTTACTTTTAATGTTTTCTTTAAATTATTTATTATTTTATTATTTTAAAAAAATAGTTTTAACTTTTTTGTTTATATTTTTACTATATTTTTATAAATTGAAATACTTTCATTGAGTATAATGTAAAATATAATTATCCTATTAAGTTATGGTAAGGGTAGAAATATAGAATAAGAAGATAGAAAATACTTTAGTCCTATTTTGAGAAGATAAATAGCATAGTCCTATTTGTGCATTTAGGGATTAGTTTAGTCCTATTTTGGGACTATTTTCTCAACAATATATTAGTGGTGGAATAAAGGTAAGAAAAAGAAAAAAGAAATAAATAAGTGTAAGTAAAAAGAAAGTAATAAACTGGGGGTGATTTTGTGAGACCCGGAGAGACCTTTTATGGATGGATACAACTATTTTTTGAAAATTTGCAACATGAGGAGTTGGAAAAATTTATTGTATAATTATGGAGCCTGTGGAAAACTCGTAATGATTGAGTTTGGAAGAACAGAGAGGTAGGGTGGAGACAAATCATTGAATGCGGGCCACTATGCTGAAACACTGGAGAGATGTGCAACGGACGACGAACAGATCTAAGACGCAAGGGGCAATACAACGGTGGAAGAAACCGATCGAGGGATTCCTGGAAGTTAATGTGGATGCAGCTCTTGATGAGACACGGGGTAGAAGAGCGTGGGCTTGGGTGGCCAGAAACGCTAGCGGGGAGTTTGTTGCAGGAGGTAGGTACACTGTTCGAGCTCACTGAAAGGCAACGGTAACTGAAGCACCAGGGGTTCATGAAGTCTTGGGTTGGATAAAACTCAGGGATGGACAAGAGTTAAAGTGGAGACGACTCACTAATGGTGTCAACAAGCATTACATACAGGGATGGGGGACCTATTTGGATATTATCATTGATGATATAAGACACGGTCTTCACACAGAAGCTAGTTTGGAAGTGTTAAAGATCTGCGAACAGGTGGCTCATACATTGGGAACGACCGCTCTTTCTGAGTCGGATGGGAGTACAAATTTCTTTTTGCCACTTGAGTGTATTGTACTCCAATTGGAGAACGATAAGTTGAATTAATATAGTACCGGTTTTCCTTTCAAAAAATGTTTAGAGGATACAAATTAGACAATCTAAATCTTATAGACCTTTTGGAATTCGGACTAATATATAACATTCATAAAAATCAACATATAACTATTACTACATAGAGAATACTAAATTTTGGGAGACCCATTTAAAAGTGAACCCCGATATCAAACTCTTATTGCACCTCCTAAAATACGGTTCTTCATGGAAGTGATGCAGGGAAAATGTGACGTCAATGGATCTGAGGCCTCGAGAGAGGAAAGAGAAGAGTAAATAGATACAATGGAAAAAATGAGATACTGATTTCCCTATGTTTCATAATACAAGTAAATTGGTCCTATTTAGAAATGGTACTTAGGATGTCATATTTTTACAGTTTAGTATTTTACCCTTGTTTTATTCCTATTTGAGATTATTACTAATAAATATATTAATTAATAAATAACTTGTTGATAAGCTGGAAAGTAACCTCACCAGAAAGTCATTAAAATTGTTCTTTTTTAAGGAAAAAAAGGATCTAACTATTACTAGCCTTTTAAAAATGTGATACAGAATCCTTCAAAAAATGTGATAGAGTATCATTTTTTTTTATCTCGAACGCCTTAAGTCTTTATAGATGTAATCGTAGAACTATTTCCACATTAATTTTTAAAAACACTCAACATTTTAAAGTGCCTTTGGAAGAACTTTTTCTCACAACAAATTCATATCTAAAATAAATTTAGAGATATTACCTGAAATATGATTAAAACAGTTTAAAAATTCCAAAATAAGACTGTCATGTTTTTATTCCCAAAATAAGATTAATTAGTGTCATGTTTTGGCAGTACCAGACTTCAAACATGTCCGTATTTTCTAAACATGTCCGTATTTTCTAAACATGACAGTAATTAGTCATATTTTGACTATAAAAAACATGACAAACCTATTTTTAAATTTCGAAACTATTTTATTTTCCTAAAAATATGGTACTCAAATAAGTTACTCCGTATTTAGCACGTATAAACCTATTTGCCTATAAAAAAACAAACGAGAGCTGATGTCTCGATCCGCAAAAAAACATTTATCAAACAAGATGTCAAATTTATAAGAAAGCCATTAACTGCTTCTTGTTTTGATGACGATGGAGATGGAGGCAAAGAAGTAAAAGAAAAGGAAGAAAGAAAAGAAAGAAAGAAAGAAACTCGGATATAGAAAAGCTCAGCTCATGGCTGTCAGCATCAAGGCCTTGCACTGACGCGTCTAAGGCATCCTCACCACCCTGGAAACGTTTACACTTGAAATACCCATTGCTGTCTCTTCCTCCTTCTTCCTCGGCCCCACCCCATCTCCCTGTTCTTGTCCCTAAATCACTTCACCGCCTCTTCATTTAATCCCTTCCATTTTCCGGCCACTTTCTTGAAAATCCCGATGTCTGAAATGGCGGCCACGGCGGCTAGCGTTGCAATCTGGTCGGGTCAACCCACTCAATCGTCAACTCCCCTTTATCAGATTTGATTTTCGTTTTCCGAAAAGACCATTTTTTGGGGATTGTTATTGGGTTCTGTTAAGACTTCTTTCTTTCCCATACAATGGAGGAGGAGAAAGTGGCGATAACGAGGAAGCTGATTGAAGTGGTGAATGAAATAGCGGCCATTTCTGACTTCAGGTCCGTGGTGAAGAAGCAGTATTTCACTCTGGCGAGGCGGCTGAAGCTTCTTACTCCGATGTTTGAAGAGATTCGCGATAGCAAAGAGGCGGTCCCTGAAGCCTCGTTGAATGCGCTGCTTTCCTTGAAGGCTGCTCTGGACTCAGCTAAGAATTTGCTCAAATTTGGTGGGGAGGGCAGCAAAATTTTCCTGGTTCGCTCCCTTTCCGAAATTGCAGTTTTTTAATTTGATTTGTGTCTTTTTTTCATTTTATCTTTATCTTTTCTTTAGTTTCTGTCTTTCTTCAATTGTTTTTGGTCCGAAATTGGAGACTTGATGTTACTCCACTCATTGTAAAATTTGAATCTTTAAAACTTTTTTTTTCTTTTCTATCTGATGAAGCTTAGAATGAACTGCAAACTGCAGCATAGGTATATGTTTTTTTACCTCTTTCCCTTTTCAAGAATATGGATTTCAAAACGTAATCTCATTTGTTGAAGGAATTTTGCTTTTTGAATTTAAGGTATGAAATTATGAAACGACAAGAGCTATATGTGGGATTTGAAAAAATGGGGCAGTCTAAGGAGGATATGATATGGAGTTGAAAGAAAAAGCTATCAATCTAAAAGTTTATAATATCTTCTGCTTTTTTGGAAATCTTTTATGTATCTATCAATTATGGAAGAAGTTACCACTAAGATCTTGGCGGATACAACTCCTTTACATGTGAAATTCCATAGTATCCTCAAGTGGAACTATTACCCTTGTTGTATATGTTTTGATGAGATAACTTGACAGAGTTACTAATTTCTAATACATTCCATATTTAGCTAGATGTTCTATTCACTTGTATTTCATCTGCAGCATTTTCAGTAGTTGTTAAACATGCTTCAGACCATCTAAATCATATTAAATGACCTGTCCACTTTTATTTGATTGTTACAAATTTGGAAAAAGAAAGTGTGTAATAATTTTATTTTACTTGGAGTCTTAGACTATACTCCATGTTTTCCCTTCAATGATTGCCACTAATGTCACTATTTTTTGATAAATGTAGCTGTTTAATCATTGTCAGTCACTAGTAGGAGCAGTTGATTTCCATAATGTTACCCATTAAGCATTCAATGCAATCTCATCTATTCAACCCTAAATAATGTCTTCATGTTTAGAATCCAAATCTACTCTCTACTTTGATTTATCATTCAAATTGATCTTTAGAATTTATAGCCATGACCATATTTGTGCTTGTTTGTTTCTTAGTAAAACCGTTTTGTTATAATGTGAAGATGATTAACTAAGAGCAATTGAGGAGATCTCATGAACGTCTCATCATTTGTATTCATTTGATAGCATTCATTGTTTCATATTTATCAACTTTGTATCTGTAACTTGCAATAGTAAATTTAGATATGTTCACGACTTTTTCACAATTTAATAAGTTGTTACATGAATGAACAAACACATATATTTCATGTATTACCATGAACATATATTTTCACTTTTGTAAACCAATTTTTAGTTTTCCCATTGTGGTGCATGATTATGAACTTTTTGCTACTTTTGAATTTTGATCTTCCTGATCACTTATCTGGTGAATAATCAACACTGAGAACAGGCTAGTTCAGTGATTGGAAGGACCAAAGAAGGCAAGAAATCCATAGTAGTGCACCAAAAGTGAAAAATGAAAGTCAATGATCATAACGGGAAATTATATAATAGTCGTGAAACCATAAGTATAATATTAATTTCAATACCAATCAACTTTTGCCTTCAATGACAACACTTCTTGTTTTGCAGGTTTTAGAAAGGGATCAAATTTTGAATAATTTTCATGAAGTGACCACTCAACTGGAGCAAGCATTGAGTGAGATTTCTTTTGAAAACCTTGACTTATCTGATGAAGTTAAAGAACAGGTTTAAACATTCTCTAGACATGCCTTTAATTTCCAGGACGTTTTGTTTTAAAAATATAATATGTTTTCAACCATCTTGTCTGATATGTCATTGATTTTTCTTCTTCCAGGTTGAGCTTGTTCTTTCTCAGTTCAAAAGGGCCAAAGTGAAGGCAGATACACCTGATGATGACATATATGAGGATTTGTTATCCCTTTACAACAGTAGTGAGACTTCTATAGATCCAGCTTTGTTGAGGAGATTGGTAGATAAGTTACAACTAGCTGGAATAAATGATCTTACACAAGAATCTCTGGCTTTGCATGAGATGGTTACTTCTACAGGTGGGGATCCAGAAGAGACCATAGAGAAGATGTCAATGCTGTTAAAGAAGATTAAAGATTTTGTGCAGACTGAAAATGTCGACATTAATTCTTCCTCCGCCAAAGAGAAGTCTCCAAGTTTAGGAGAGACATCCACAGAGGAGAGTGATAAGACAAACCCAGTTATACCAGATGATTTCCGCTGTCCTATATCTCTGGAGCTTATGAATGACCCTGTCATTGTTTCGACTGGACAGGTTTGGCAACCAATTCTATTGATTTTTCATGTGCGTACTTTTAAAAAGAGAAGGTACATATTTGCCCTTAACATGAAAGTAATTTTTGGTGAAAATGTATATTAGCCCCTGCAGGTGCAAATATACATTTTGGCCCGTAGCCCTTACATTATTTTTATCATCATATTTCAAAGCCTGATATTTTTCACCACTAGTAAGCTTTTTTTACATCAATATTAAATTAACCATGTTTGTGGAATCAATATTTCATTCAAAGAAACCATAAAGAAGTACATAAGACAAATATAAGATTTATGTATTGTAAAGTTTCATTCACACAACATTTTATGCAATCATTGACGTTTTTGTACACAATATATGAAATTGTGTATTTTTTGTGATCTTTAAGCTGTCATTATGTAGGCAACCATTATGCGTGTTAACTGTTAAGGGTATATTCGAGGCCAATGTTAAAGAAATATTTGCACCTTTTCCTTCTATCTATAAATTTGATGTTTTTGGTTTTTTGGACTTGCTTCACTAAGTTCATAACTACATAATGGTCCACGCTTGTTGATCTTTTGCCCATTAAAACAGACTGTTTTCTCTTCAGAGACCAAAACAGTAGTGGTTCAGCCATTGTTTTCTTGTTGCTTCTAACTGACTATACTTTCTTGAATTGTAGACCTATGAACGTTCATGCATTGAGAAATGGATAGAAGCGGGACACACCAGCTGCCCAAAGACACAACAGCCCCTAACCCACAACATCCTCACCCCCAACTACGTCTTACGCAGTCTTATAACACAATGGTGCGAGTCAAACGGGATCGAACCGCCTAAACGACCTGGCACATCCCGGTCCCGCCAATCCAAATCCTCCTCCTCGCCCGTTGAAGACTGCAAGATAGAAGCTCTGATATCCAAACTCAGATCAGGCAACCCGGAAGACCAACGGACAGCCGCTGGTGAGATCCGTCTCCTCGCCAAACGAAACGCTGACAACCGTATAGCGATAGCAGAAGCCGGGGCTATACCATTGTTGGTCAACCTTTTATCCAAACCCGATTCCCGAACCCAAGAGCATGCAGTCACAGCCTTACTTAACCTCTCCATATGCGAAGACAACAAAGGAGCGATCGTATCTGCAAATGCGGTCCCTGGCATCGTCTATGTCCTCAAGAAAGCAGGCATGGAGGCCAGAGAAAATGCGGCGGCCACTTTATTTAGTCTCTCTGTTGTGGATGAGAATAAGATCATAATTGGTGCTTCGGGAGCTATTCCTCCTCTAGTGGCTTTGTTAAATGAGGGTAGCCAAAGAGGGAAGAAAGATGCAGCCACTGCACTCTTCAACCTGTGTATATATCAAGGCAACAAAGGGAAGGCGGTACGAGCAGGGGTGGTGTCCATATTAATGCAACTGTTGACCGAACCACAAGGGAGTATGGTAGATGAGGCGTTAGCCATACTCGCTATATTAGCTAGTCATCCCGAAGGGAAGTTAGCCATTGGGACCGCAAAAGCTATGCCGGTTTTGGTATCCTTCGTAGCAAGTGGGTCCCCTCGGAACAAAGAGAACGCGGCCGCGGTCTTGGTTCACTTATGCTCGGCTGACCAGAATGTGGTCAAAGCTCAGGAACTGGGTGTTATGGAACCTTTGCTTGATTTAGCACAGAACGGAACGGAAAGAGGGCGTCGAAAGGCTGCCCAGTTGCTTGAAAAAATTAACAGGTATGTTGAACAACAGAAGCAGGCCAGTCAGGTGACCAAAGATCAAACAACTGATAACCAGTCGCAACCAGACACATCTGTGGATTGTTGATTCGAGTTTTTTTTTAGTTTAATGCGTGGTTGTTTTCAAAACATTTCGATAGGGTGTAGGTGGAAGATCACCTCATCTTTTATATGTCTTACATATATTTGTTCTTTATCCTATCAAATGGGTCAAGATGCATGTATACATACAACATCCTTTGGCAAAAGTAAGGCTGATTTGGTGAACAAGAACTGAAAAGGAAAACTATGAGGAATTCCCCCCTCCTTCACTTTTTTATGAAGGAGAATATGTCAACTTTAATGTAACAGTTACTCGCTTATTTTAGAAGAGAGAGATGATGTTTTTAGACTGTAGTTCCATTCAGACTCTATTTTCTTTGGAGAAGCACAAGGAATCCCAGATGGTGGTTTGGTTTTTAATTTTTATTTTATAGAAATTGCTCTAAATAGGAGCAAAAACGTTTTGAAATTCCAAAATAGGAGTATCATGTTTTTATTCCCTTAATAGGAGTAATCTGCCAAGTTTGGAAGAAAATGCCATGTTTTAAAGCTAGTAATGCCAAACTTGGCAGAAATTTACTCCTATTCAAGGAATAAAAAACATGATACTTCTATTTTGGAATTTCAAAACTTTTTTACTCCTATTTAGGGAATTCTCCCTTTATTTTAATGTTTGTTCTATATATTTATCTCTCTCAACACTTGAAGAATTTTACTACCATTTTGTAGACTTTTTTAGGATGTTGAATTGTTGAGTGTGAATTAGTGATGGACCCGGGCCGGTCCGGTTCCAGGCCGGGCCCGGGCGGGCTTTTTTGCAAATCCTTGGGCCCAGAACCGGCCTGGGTCCGGGCCTAACCGGGCCGGGCCGGGCCCAGTTCAATGTCTTTTTTTTTTTTTTTGCTTTCTTGTTATCCCCGACCCCCCCCTCCCTTCACCCCCACCCCCAAACCTCCCCAAAACACCCAGCCCTACCCTAGGAAAAGAAAAAAATTGAAAAACAACAAAAAAAAATTGACCCGGGCCCGGTCCGAACCGCCAGGGCCGGTTCGCCCAAAACTGGGCCCGAGCCCGGGCTGCCCGACCTGCCCAAACGGGCTAAAAGCCCGGAACCGGCCAACCGGTCCCGGTCCGGTCCGGGCCCGCACAGTAGCGGGCCGGGCCGGGCCGGTTTAGTCCATCCCTAGTGTGAATGTGATAAGCAGTTTTGATTAGTTACAATTAGACTAGACCACTGCTTTAGCAGTTTTCATAATGTTTGTTTTTAAGTTAATAGAACAATGAAAACTATGATTTACCCCTCATTTTCAGATATTATTATAAGTAACTAAATTTTAGCAAATAATGCACCTAAATAATTACATGTTCAACAAACCAAAAGTCAATCACGAGTACATCATTATCAATTTTGCAAAAACTTTCTAAGGATTTATTTTCATTTATTGGGGAGAGGCAATGTTGAAACGTGTAAGGCTACAAAAAATGCCCTGGAGCAAAGGAGTAAGGAATGGAGTGGGAAATACGTGGAAAATGCAAATTTTGAGGCATTTCTTTGTTTTGGTAGGGGAGAAACAACGAGAAATAAATGTTTAGGATATACTCCTTTCATGTCCTTATTTTTGTTCAATTTTATCTTTTTCATCCTCTCACTAACTTTCCAATACCATACCCCCACCGTCTCATTGGACTTTGTCAACTTTCTTTTTTTTGTTCCAAAAAACTTTGTCACTTTCCTATTAAAGCAACTAATTTGTGGTTATACTCATTTTTTTCTCCTCTGCACAAACCTTCAACACATAATTTTTATTTTTCTTATTTCTCACTAACTTTTAACTTGACAAAGTTCACCGGGACGGAGGTAATATTTAATAAATTGAATGGCTACTATTCATTCTTACTTTATTGACATTTTTTCAATTTAAATATTAACCACACAATTTCACTTTTCTTGATAACGTCATCACTCCCTTTTGTCTCAGGGAGAAAGAGGTAATATAAGGAAGAGACATTAATAATTAAAAGTGGACTAAATATTTATGTACATCAAAAAAACAAAAGGGTGTGATACAACTTTTAAGAAAAGTGAAATTATGTGATTGATATTGAATTGATAAAGTGCATATAAAGTAAGAATGATTGCAACCACTTTAATATTATCAAATATGGTACGGAACAAACTTAATGAGCTGGACGAAAAAGGTAAAATATGACAAAGTTAGGAGGACGGATGGAGTAATATTCAAGTATGAATCAATTTAAACTACTACCTCCGTTCCAATTGGATGATCATGTTTCTTATTCACTTGATCTACACAAATCATTCTTATTTTTTTTTTACTTTATATATCAAATTTTTATCTAATTTGATTTTAATTTTTACGACTTTGTAAAACATTTAATATAATTTCTGAATATGTAATGTCTTTTTCTAAAAATAATTTGAGTGTGGACAAGGATTCATATGCTTTATCATCGGTTAAAACTCGTAAAACGCAAACATACCATCAAATTTGGAGGTAAATATAATAAAGCTTAAAATGTCATAAATCAAGTGAGACCCAATATGTAGTTTGTGCTTAAGAATATTTTTAATTGAGATTTTTTATATATACTAGTAATTCTTTTTGAGAAATTGTATGATGCGGTTTCTCAATTTTGTGTGGATAGAGAAAAGTTTATAAATAATGTAATTACTAATTAGCCCCGTGACGTGAAAAAGGCTATAGGGTGATCAAAACTTGTCATTCCGTAAGATGCTTATCTATTTATTACTTTCTTTCCATTTTTAGCAAAGAATTTGTGGTTTACAACCATTCTTACACATTTCTTTTTCCTCTTCACAACTCTACACCACACATTTGTACTTCAGGAGATAAATATGGGATGGAGGGAGTAACTAATTAATCAACTCATACATTCCGACCACCGTTGCTTCACAACTCACCTCCCAACCGCCGCTGCTTCACATCTCACCTGTCATATGTCGCTTCTTCACCTGAAGCGCCATTGCGGCCGCTTCGTCTCTCGTTTTGCGGCGCCATCGCTTTTTGCTTGGATTGTGCTTTTTCTTCCCTAGTCTTGTTCGGTGAGGGGGCATAAAGCAATCATCGATCGTTGGCTTTGGATACTGCTGCTGCGGTGGTACTGCGTTGCTGGCGCAGGGGACAACTTCAAATATTTGGGGGAGATAGCTCGGCAGGGCATCTGGAAGTCTCTCACATCTGGGAGTTTTCAATGGCACGTTCGGAAGAGGAATATGGTAGTCTAACTTTGGAAGATATGAGGAAGGGCTGGTCCTTGTTGAAGAGAGCAGTGAGACAAAGGCAATAGGATCTCTAGCGACTTTTCTAGTGGTAGGTACTCTAATCACAAAGAAGGTGATACAATTTCAATTTTTCAGGGAGGTTATGGCCTCAATATGACTGTTCAATCTAGTTAGTTATCTTTGTATTTGTGTAGTTATCAATTAAATGTGTAATACGAGCCATAAATGTGTATCAGCCCGGGGGCTTCCTTGTAACTCGTAAGTTAGCCAACTTCTCCTATAAAAGGAGGCTAACTTACGGGAACCCTAACGATCGACAGAGGCTGAGAGCATAGAGGCGTAGAGATAGAGAGATTAGGGTTGCCGCTGCTCTCCTTCTCCAGGGAGAGCAGCGGCCAGTTCATACGGTATACCAGATTCGGTTCTTAATCTTGTCGATTTCTTCCTATCTGCTTCTTTATCATTGTTATGATTGTATGATTGTTAGTATTATGGGATTATCATTTGGTATCAGAGCCGAGGCGTGAAACAGGTTGGATCTATCTGCGATTTTTTTGGATCTAACGAAGAACTGCTCTGCTTTTCTTCTGTTTTTCTTTGATGTAGAGATTTGCTCCTGTAATCTTGTTTGTGAACGAAATTTTGTAAAAATCATACTGTTGGACTCGCCTTTCAAAACCGATCCAGCAGCATACCTCTTTTTTCGTTTTCTGCAATTTCT